ATGACGTAACTAGAAACCACACTCACCTTATGACGGAACTAGAAACCACTCTCACCTTATGACGTAACTAGAAACCACACTCACCTTATGACGGAACTAGAAACCACACTCACCTTATGACGGAACTAGAAACCACACTCACCTTATGACGGAACTAGAAACCACACTCACCTTATGACGGAACTAGAAACCACACTCACCTTATGACGGAACTAGAAACCACACTCACCTTATGACGGAACTAGAAACCACACTCACCTTATGACGGAACTAGAAACCACACTCACCTTATGACGGAACTAGAAACCACACTCACCTTATGACGGAACTAGAAATCACTCTCACCTAATGACGTAACTAGAAACCACACTCACCTTATGACGGAACTAGAAACCACTCCCACTAAAACTAAAACCATATTGCCATTTGAGTGTCCTACAGTTAGTAAACGCATTGTATAATGGAAACAAAGCTTACGTGTCCGTTTGTGGAGCAGTTTTTTTTCGTATCTGCATCAAATTGTGGTCTATTTGATGTCAAAATAACTTGTTTGTTTAACATTAAATAGTACCATATTGTATTATAAAGATGCAGTTTTAAAGTGTTTAAACATGCTTGAATATTCCACAAATTTAAATTGGATGTAAATATTTGATTTAAATTATTATAATCACAAATAATTTTAAAATGTCATTGATGAACGTCATTCTAGTGTTTAATTAAGATTGCTTTTTTTAGGTTGTACCAAATATGGTGTGGAAGTTGTTGATGGTGATGATAACCTGCTACCATAATCCATACAGTTCTACAGGGTAACCATTTCACCGCCATCAAGTACATCTCTATTGGTTTCATGTCCAAGTTTGGATAAATCTGTAAATAATGACATTTCTTGTAACGCTCTAAGTAGATGAAATGGTGGCATGATGGATGATATCTGTATATAAGGGTGTATCTGTTTATGTATATGTTGTTCTGTTATCATAATATACCGGGTGCAATCTATTATATTTAGTTTTTGGTAATGGCCAAAATCTGTTTTGCACTTTAGGGCATAGTTTACTGCATGGCATGACTGCATGTACGTTTTAAAACAAGTGAACTGATATATTTCAGGGATACATTGTCATAGCATCACATCGTCAATGATATGGATCACCTTATTATCATGCATTTTTAGAAGTAAGTATTAGTAATCTATGCAAACTCAAACTCGGGAATCAACTCTATTTGTTATAACAAAAAAGGAAGATTCATTAGAATCCTGTATGATGCTTTTTAGTCCCCGTTCGGACGCAGTCCGAAAACGGGAACTTATGTTTGCCC